CCAGGTAGATCTTGAAGGAGTGGCTGCGTCTGGGGCCACAAGAGACACATCACCAGAAGCATCCAATTTCACCAGAGATGCAGCTCCAAAACAACTAACCAAAAGTTAACTCCCCCAATTTATTTATTTTACTGTTTATAAACCTTTGCATCTACTTGCAATGGATAAGATGGTTCTGAGAGTTTTTTAAAGATATCTGAATTTTCTTTTCTTTTTTTTTTTTTTTTGGTACCAGGGATTGAACCCAGGAGCACTTAACCACTGAGCAGCAGCATCCTCAGCCCTTTCTATTTCTTTTAAATTAGAGACAGGGTCTTAACAAGTTGATTAAGGCCTTGCTAAGTTCCTGAGACTAGCTTTAATCTTGCAATCCTCCTGCCTCAGTCTCCTGAGCCACTGGGATTACAAGGACATGACACCATTCCTGACAAGATATCTGAATTTAGTGGTCCAGTTTTCATTCTGTTTATAACAATTTTTTAAGGAATATTTAATTTCTCTCAGCAAACATATCCATCTTAAATGCAAATAATTCTTTTTTATAAATCCTTCATAAGCCCCTATTTCTCTATCCTTTCCTGACATTTGGAAAACTGGCCATCCAGCCTATCACCTAAAGGAAACATATGCAACCTAACAGAGAAGGGCACGGATGCGCCCACTTGGCTCAGGGCCCAGTATTCCCAGAGGCTCAGTATTCCCACTGTCTCACTGCCTCAGCAACCCCCTAGAAAGTCAGTCAGCCTTGTAGTCACCTGAACCATCACAAACCATCACAACTACCACAGAAAAGAGCTAAGTCTACCTTTAGGTCGATGCCGTGGGCTCTCCGGTTCATTTCTTCTGCTGCTGCGCTCTAAGCCTCCATCTCGCTCCAATCTGCTGCTGTGCCTACTTCTATCCCGTTCATCTATGAAGAGTCACACACAGAGCTCAGCACCACACAGAGTGCAGCTGTGTCCTGTCCTCACACATACCCAGCTGCACCCTAGAGAAAGGACAGGCCGCCTCACTCACTCACAGGTGCAACCTGTACTGCTCTAATGCGGTCCATGGGTTCCTGAACTCACACATTCCCATTCTTTCAAAGGGAAAAATATAGTTACTGGCTAGAAAATTTCAAACTCAAAATAAGAGTTATTTTCCTGCAAGATTTCAAAAAAAAAAAAATAGTTTCAAGTCTATAGTGAATAGTTTTATAAAGTTAAAAGCTTGTAAGCCATAAAATACTGAGCAGGACCAGCACTGGCTTTTATGTCAAGCTTCATTCCATATCACTGTCCTTTCTGTATCTCCGACACTCTTGTATACTCTGGTTTCTTATATGAATTATCCATTGTTTCCTTTATCATGAGTTTTCATAATAAAACAAGGACCACATGCTCAAGCAAACCAGGTGTTACAACTGACAGCTGTTCTTAAACTGCCTGCTATCCCCAATCCCAGCAGGGTAAAACCCATAGGCTGACATCATGTACACAGGGATATCCAGTTAATGGGCACAATTCAAGTTTGTGCAACAGGAAAAAGCCTGGCATGTGTCTATTCACATGCTAACAGGCACAGGAACCGTGCTGCATAGTTTACCTCTGTCCCTTTTGCGGTCATGGTCTCCTCGATCCCGTGATTTCTCTTTCTTCCGATCCTTTTCTTCTTTGGATGAGGCATAGACACCATGTTCCCGCCTCTCCCGCTCTCTTTGCCGACTACGTTCCCAAAACTCTTCACTCACACCCCCAGGATGGGATGGAGTCTCTACATGAGCAGACCGATAGTGTCTGAAACAGGGAGTGCAGCTGGTAAAGAGCCCTCCACAGGAGAAGACCCTACCCCAAACCTCTGGCTATGCCAAACAAGTGACCTGTCCTTTTCTACTCCTTGATGCTGCAGGCTTATATACGGCATCAACCCAAGGCACTTCTAACCTCTATCATCTCCCCCTTAGCTGCCTTTGAATTCTTACCACAAATGTAAAGAAAATGCTAATTCTACATAGCATCAGTATTACAAAACCACAAAAAAAAAAATTACAAGCTCTGAATGTCCAATAGGAAAACTGGAAACTAATCATGGGCTATTGTTTTCTGGCCTCCACTTTTATCCCCTTTGGGCCAACCTACCCAAAGGCCTTTACCTGTCTTTCCGGCTACTTCGGCCAGCCTGCTCATCACCGTCCTCTTCAGCATCCTTCTGGTCATCCTTGCTCTCCTCCCAGTCCTTGTAAGAAGAGATTCTGGACTTCTTCTTGTCCTCCCCATCATCTTTCTCTTCTCGCTCCCTCCGTTTCAGGGAAGCCAACAAGTCCAGTCCCAGCAATGAAGGGCGGGGAGCAGGGGCTTTGAAGACATGCTGCTCACTGGCTGCACTTTTGGTCTTGCAAATAAGACCACCAACCTGAGAGTCCAGATCAGTGCCTTCTAACCGATGGATTGAGGCATCCTCATTGGTGTCCTCCATCGCAGGCTCTGGGATTTCTCTGGGAGGGAGGAGAATCATTTGGTATAGAACATAAGAAATAAAGCTCAGCTACGCTATAGCCCAGAATAACTATAGTTACAGGTATACTTAGGTGGTTAAGCCTACCTACCCACTACCAAGACCAGAACTTCTTTTGCTACCTCTTGTCAAGACCTTTCCATCAAATCAATGACATTCTCAAAAGACCCTCCTATTCTCACCCCCACACCAAAGATACAGATATACATACACACTCACCAAATATTACAATATTACAAAATAATAATTACAATTAACCCAAAAATTTCTGCCAGATTCTAATCAACATGCACAGCTCTACAGAGGAGTATTACAAACATAATGTGGATACAAAAACATCAATATCCAAAAGGATATCATGCAGGCAAGAAAAGACCTCACTAAGGGTTGCTTACTGGAACATGATACCATCTATAAACTGAGTGCAGGGGAAACTAGATTTGAAGTCAGAAACTCAATTAGAAACCAGACTTTTGGCATTTTCTACTTCTATGATGGTAAGCAACTTCATCTTTGGATTAGCCATAATTTCTATATCTGTAAAATGGAAATAATTTTGGCTTTATCTAATCCACAGAATAATTACAAGAATCAAAAAAAGTATTCTGTAGCCAGATTTATAGACATAATGGTTACACTATTTCATATTTTATTTGCTATACTCCTATATATTAATTGGGTTCCTTACCACTTTTTTACATGAGTTCTTCTACCTCTCCCTCCCTTTCAATTAAAGGTACAGCAGAGTAAAGACGTGAAGACAGAAGGTTACCATTCATGTTCTGCCCACTTTAGTGACTTTTTCTGGACCAGTAGTATTTTGTAAAAACACAATTACCTTACAGAAGTCAAAATCAGTTTAATAACAATCCATGTTTACTAAAAATACTTATGGGAAACACTGAATTAGGCAGATTCCCTGGAGCTTAACTTGTAACATTTTCCTCTTTGTCTCTCACTACACACTATCCACTTATAAATGTACATCTATGCTGGGCACTTGGATAAATGCCCTCATTCAAACAAGTAAGTGAAGCAAAGGGGTAAGATACCTCCAGAATCCAAAATTTTCTGCCAGATTCTAATCAACATGCACAGCTCTACAGAGGAGTATTACAAACATAATGTGGACGCAAGAACAAGAGTTGCATTTTGAAAACGTCATCAGGAACAACAGAAAAGAGAAACCTGCATGCTGGTTTCCTCACAAGCATTTGTATGCATGTAAGGAAATCCAGGCAGGAAGACTGGGGTACACATGCTGTCATCAACAGTTATCTGAACTAGGAATTATGCCCCTAAAGGCCATTCTATGCAAACAAGGGAACCTGGTCTGTTTTGTTGACTGCTATGGCTCAGTGTAGCAATATAAACATGTGATGAATAAATGAATAAGTACATTTAAACTTAAAGGAGAACAGGAAGTCAAACATTTCTAGAAACAGCATGAAAAGATAGCAGCAACAGAGCACAAGGGAGTCTCAGAGAGAGGACTTAACTGGCTGCTGAGAAGAACAAAGAGTTAAGAGGCCAGACTCTGCAGAAAGATTAATAGCAAAGAGGCGAGAGGGTACCAGAAAGTCAGTGAAGAAACCTGGACTTACTCGATCAATAATTATTCACTGAATGCCTCCTTGAGCCATCCCTGTTCTCAGCAAAAGGGACAGACAAAAATAAAAATCCCTGGCACCCTTGGAGCTTACATTCTAATATAGGAGGTCTTCCACTAAATCTCCAGGTTGAGATACCACTGTGAGGTAGAACAGAAAGACGGAGGAGCCCCGCTCAGGCGCATTGACTGCCTAGGAGTCGGCTAGGGCCAAGTCCTAAGTAAGGGCGCAGGGCGACCCTGGACAGCACCTCTGGATCTCAGCATCTAACCAGAGCAAGGAGAAAGGCCGCAGGAAACAGGATGGGCACAATATCGTCGAGGTTAGTAAAGCAAGTTAGGTGACAAGGAGGAAGGAACTTTCCAAAGTGGGGAAACCTGAACCGGAGGCCGGTATCTGTCTCCTGGAGCCGCTGTGATTGGCGAAGGCCAGGTCAGGAAGGAAGAAGGGACACTCACCTCACCAAGAGCGACTCTTGGGACCCTTCTGTTCCGGATTTGGGGGTTCTGGCGCTGCCACCCCTCGGCCTGAAGGCCTCAAAGAGACAAATTCCACTCCTTGAAAGCCGCCATTATCCTCCCATAATACCTTGCGCGGCCCCCTCTATCATCCAAAGATACCATCGAGAACAGTCCAGGAAACGTCGGCTCCTAGGCCAAGTGTGGGACAGAACGAGAACCAGCTCTCAAAGCTAGAGTGTCTTCTGGGGATCAGCTCTGATCAGAGACATTTCCGAGACATTGCGACCAATCACGCTTAGTTCGAGAGGTGAAAACCCGCCTCTAGTCTGTGTGAGGGAGACGGGGTTGGCTGGGGGAGTAGAACGGCCATATTTGCTAAGGGCGGAAATGACAACAAACTTCCGGTCAGGGGGAATAGGCTGTATCTGCAATAATCTCTTCTGTTTTTATTGGTCTGTTGAGTGGGATCCTCTACTACGAGTTCTTTCCCAGCGCCTGTGCGTTTTCCATTTCCGTTTAGTTCTCACGCAGTGGGCTAACGAGCGTTGCTAGGCAACAACTCGGGGTTACTTTGGCTTGAGGTTGTGGGCCTACTTGGGGCGGAAGAAGTGCGCCGCCCCGGGCCTGGGTACTCAGAGAAAGGATCCGGGTTGCTGACGGCCCTGGAGCGGAGGTGACTGGGACATGTCAAGTATCCTCGTCCCTCACAGCTGTGGGTTAAGAGCAGCCCAAACACAAGCATCTTCAAAAAAACTTACATGGGGTATTTTCGAAAGTAGAGACGTAGGCCCCATGTAAATAAAAATCACCCGTCTGTTCAGATGCAGGTATGTCCATTGATGATGTTTTAAAATATTCCACCTTTCTTTGTAAATATGAATTATATACAAGCTAAGTTTCGTAGAAAATGTGGGATCAATCTTTATATACTGTTTTGTAACTTTTCTTCGATGGCTGCAGGACTGTGCTGTCATTTATTTCACCAATGTCCATTTACGTTGTTTTCAGCTTTTTGCCCTAAGTGCGTTGAATAGCCTATGTACATAAACCTTTGTGCATTTGTCTGATGATTTACTAAGAAATAGTTCTCAAACACTGAATTGTCAAAGAGTTTGTCAGTTTTCTTTCCAGAAAAGTTTTGTCCCTCTGCTTTTTCTATATCTGTAAAATGGAAATAATTTTGGCTTTATCTAATGCCTGCCCCTGCATTCACACTGTCGCCCTTATTGTGTTTTACTATATTGTTTAATCTTTGCCAATTTAATCGGGTTTTTTTTTTTTTTTGGGGGGGGGGGGTTGCTTTTATCTGCTTACTTGTAAAGCTTAACCTTCCAAACGTGTTCACTACCCATCTGTACCTCTTATTTTGTGAATTCTCTATTCTGATTTTCCTTTTCTATGGACATCTTCTCAGGTGGGTCTCAATACTGTCTCCAGCATTTGTCCAAGCCCATCCCTAGCCTCTCTGTTGACATTGCCCTTCCCTTATTTCCTCCTCTTTATTAGTAACCTTGAGGATTTACTCTTTGTCTGAATTCCAGTGATAGAACAGATCTATATTCTCTTTGAATTTCTCTTTCATCAGGAATTTTTTCTGCCAAATATGACAAAGTCCCCCCTGGAAATCAGCTTCCCTATTTAAAGTGTACCTATTGCTGGAACACTTTCATTTCCTGTATGAATTTTTATTAAGTTCATATCTAAAAATTGATATGTGACCAAAAATATACATAGAAAAAGAAATACTACCTTTTTGTAGCATTAGCCAACTCTGAAACTGAATTCAAAGTGTCAGGTGTCTCAGTGAAGTCTTCTGTAGATGCAATAATATGCTCCTTGATCAATGAGCTTCTCAAATATGAAATTTCTCATTGAATTGCTTAGGCTGGCTTTGAACTTGCAATTCTCCAGCCTCAGCCTCCTGAGCCTCTGGGATTATAGGCATGCACCACCACTCCCAGATTTTAAAAGTAACACTAGACTAGAAATTTGGTATAAATAAAATAGTGTAATATAAATAAATAAAATAAATGTAATAAATAAATGTAAATTAAAAATATAAAGGTCCGGGCTAGGGTTGTGGCTCAGCGGTTGAGCGCTCGCCTCACACTTGCGGGAGGGACCCTGGGTTCAATCCTCAGCACCACATAAAAATACATAAGTAAAATAAAGGTATTGTGTCCAACTACAACTAAAAAATAAATATTTAAAAAATAAATAAATAAAATAAAGGTCCTTTAACAACTAAAGATAATATTTTAAAAAAAGAAACACCTGGGCTGGGGTTGTAGTTCAGTGGTAGAGCACTTGCCTAGAATGTGTGAGGCCCTGGGTTCAATCCTCAGCACCACACATAAATAAATAAAATAAAGGCATTGTGTCCATCTACAACTAAAAAAAAAAAAAAAATTAAAGAAAGAAACACGTATTGGTATTTTTTTGTGAATATATGACAAAACTGTGGAAGATACATTAGAAATTAATGAAAACAGTTTCCTGGTATGTGGGACATGTGTGGCAGTGGGAACCAGGCCCAAGAAGGGCCATGGGGAGAGGGACATGTGTACCTTTCTATAATGTTTCTTTTTTAACCATGTAATTATATTACCTACTCTAAAAATTTATTTTTTTTAAATTCGAACTCATGCACTTAATTTAAACTGCCTTTAAACATTGCAACTTCATTTCAGGATTGATGGTGGGGATTAACATTTGGATTATTTCAAGATGAGCTTCCTGTTGCCCAAACTGACTAGCAAAAAAGAAGTAGACCAAGCCATAAAAAGTACTGCAGAGAAAGTGTTGGTTCTCAGGTTTGGGAGAGATGAGGATCCTGTCTGTCTGCAACTAGATGACATTGTAAGTGAATTTTTTAAACAAATGGGGTTTTTTATTTTTTTTGTAGTTGTATATGGACAGAATGCCTTTATTTTGTTTGTTTATTTTTATGCTGTGGTAAGGATTGAACCTAGTGCCTCACACATGCTAGGCAAATGCTTTTCCACTGAGCTACAGCCCCAGCCCAAATAAATGCCTCCATGTCTGAAAAATGAATGGAAGTAGGCAAGGCTCAAATGTAGCTCTTGGTTCATTAACACAGTTTCACTAAGAGCTGATCCTGTGTTTGCTCTGAGCTGAACCTCCAAATTTGTTATTGTGCTGAATCTGCTCCAGTGTCCTTCCCCACTAGCAGATTTCAAAACTCATTTTCACAGATAAGGCAGTGAAAGAGTAGAAAACATTACCAGGAGTCTATGAACATTACCTTTTTTTTAAACTCCATCTGCTATTATTTTTATATGATACTTAGTATTGAACCTGTGCCTCACATGTGCTAGGTGGGCACTCTACCACTGAGCCACAACCCCAGCCCCTGTTATCTTTTTTTGATGCTAGAGCAGTGGCCCCATTTCCCAGTGGCAGAAACAAACACCAGAGAAGTCAAGGAGTTTCCCACTGGCACAGATGCACTTAATTGAAGAGCTGGGATTTAAATTCAGTTTTCTCTAGCTGCCAATCCCTTTTCTTATGTGCTGCCTCTAGAATGTCCCTGATGATTGTTTCTGGTCTCACAGCACATCTTCACATTCTGATTAATAAGGGGAAAAATTATGGGACAGAGTGAGTGTATTCTTGTCTCTGTCTATTATAGAGAGTTTTAACCAAGTACTAAGACCTCTTCCCCCTTCAGTTGCTGCCATCCACCATGGAAATTAAGTGTAAGCATCCTCATTTGGTTAAAAACAGATGTGTGATGTGTTAACCTGGAAGACAAATGACCAGAAAATTATACCCTTACCTGTGTGGAGGAAAAAATAGTACAGAAGTCAAGAGGGTAGATTCTGAGCTGCGGTATGCCCTTAGAGCACTTTGTTTAGCATGTGTGAGGCCCTGGGTTCAATCCTGCGCTGGGGGGAAAAAATATAGTTTCTGAAGCCAAGCTGCCAAAATTCAAATCCCAGCCCTGCTGCTTAGGAACTGTATGAACTGGGACAAGTTATTTTACTTCTTGTGCTTCTCTTTCTTCCTCTATAAAATAGGGACTCAAACAATCCATACCTCAAAGGAATGTGTAAGGATTAAATTAGTCAGCAAATGAAAGCATTTAGGACTGTTAGCATGCAGGAAGTGTTGTATAAACATTTGCTATTATAATAATTGTTTCTAGAATATTGGGAAGAAAGAGACTTGGGGGAATTTCAGTATCTATATTACATGTTTCTGAGTTGTTCTGTTTTAAGTGAGTATAATATATGGTTTTTGTTTGTTTTGTGGTACTGGAGATAGAACCCAGGTCCCTGTGCAGGCTAGACAAGTGCTTTGCCACTGAGCTCTATACAACAACCCACTTAAAATGAGTATGGATTACTTTTAGAGGAGCAATCCAACATGGACAAAAAAAAAAAAGTTTAAAAAATAAATTTATTTTTCCCAGGGAGCTCTCATAACCTGTCAACAGTGATTCAACCTGTGAACAATAGTTATACTCTATCTAATGTAAACTGCCAAATAGACTAGAGTCTTGGCCCAGGAATTTTTTTAAACAATATGTTGTAGTAAAAAGTTTCTCAGAAGAAATATTGGCTACTTCTCATATTATAACCTCCCTCTCTCTTGTCATTTAGCTCTCTAAAACTTCTTCTGACTTAAGTAAAATGGCTGCTATATACCTGGTAGATGTGGACCACACTCCAGTTTATACACAGTATTTTGACATCAGTTATATTCCATCTACTGTATTTTTCTTCAACGGGCAGCATATGAAGGTGGACTATGGGTAAGTTGACTTTGAAGTCATTGCAATCTTGAAAGTGTCCTTTATCTAAGCCATTTCCAACTTACCTATTTGCATGTGATGTTTGCTTTCTGAGTCTTGTGTTAGTACTATTTCCTCAGTTGATGTATCCTTTAATTTTTATATGAAAATTAGGTACAAAATGAGAGTATTTCATAAATGATTAGCAAATTTTTTAATTTCAAACTTAAATATGAAAGAATAGTTTACGAAGCACTAATCATCCTCAAGTTGATAAATACAAAATAGTTAAATTAACTAAGTATAGAATATAAAAAGTTTCCCAGGAATTTTATTTGAAACACAATATATAGTTGTTCTAAAACTTTTGGGATTGGTAGATGATATTTATAAAAGAAGCCTTTCTGCCAGCAAACTTCTCTCTTGCCAAGTATCTTCTGTTACTCAGAGAATTTGAAGTCATTCTTCAACCAGGCCTGTCAAAACATGTAAATGAGTCAGGCACGGTGGCACACACCTATAATCCCAGCGGCTCAGGAGGCTGAGGCAGGAGGATTGTGAGCTCAAAGCCAGCCTCAGCAAAAGTGAGGCACTAAGCAACTCAGTGAGACCCTTTCTCTAAATAAAATACAAAATAGGGTTGGGAATGTGGCTCAGTGGCCAAGTGCCCCTGAGTTCAATCCCTAGTACCCTCCACCTCAAAAAAATGTAACATTAGTTTTTTAATATCTTCCATTCCATCTAGTTAGCATCCCAATACTGAATGTTACTGACTATATTCATCATTCTAAACATTTCTTACTCTGGTTGAAACGTATACTTGGTTTGTATTATATGTTAGAAAGTGAGTTATATACTGTTTGAAAGTGTTTTAAAGCTATTTATTTTCCTGGAACACAGGAAAGTAATACTTACTTGATGTAAGTATTAGTTTTAAATAAACTTTTTAAAGGACAATTTATGACACCATGTGTCAAAACATCTTAAAAGTGTTTAAACATTTAATATGATGTTGTAGGTATATAGTTAATGACTTTGAAAGATATATATATATATATATTAGTTGAAAAAATGTGTTACTAAATAGTTTGAATATGATTCTCATTATCATGAACAATTAAATACACTTATACATAGACATATACACACATACACATAAGTTTGGAAGGATATAACACCAAAAGGTGTTTTCTGTCCTCACTGGTGATTTTATTTCTCTCTAAAAAGTTATACAATAAATATACCTAATGTTTAAAATGTTTAAAAAATAAATATACCTAATGTTTTAAATATACCTATGTTTAAAATATACCTAATGTAAAGGCAGCAGAACACAACAGACACTAGTATGGCAATATGTAAATCAATGGATGTGTAACCGATGTGATTCTGCAATCTGTATACGGGGTAAAAATGGGGGTTCATAACCCACTTGAATCAAAGTGTGAAATATGATATATCAAGAACTATGTAGGGACTGGGGATGTGGCTCAAGCGGTAGCGTGCTCGCCTGGCATGCGTGCGGCCTGGGTTCGATCCTCAGCACCACATACAAACAAAGATGTTGTGTCCGCCGAAAACTAAAAAATAAATATTAAAAAAAAATTTAAAAAAAAAGAACTATGTAATGTTTTGAACAACCAACAATAAAAAAAAATAAAAATCAAAAAAAAAAGAATTGTAATGCAAAAAACCACAAAGTTCATGTATAAAGGCATGAGTTGGCATGAACATACTCTATATACAAAGATATGAAAAATTATACTCTATATGTGTAATAAGAATTGCAATACATCTGCTATCGTGTATTTAAAAAATAAAGTCAATAAAACTAAAAATAAATAAATAAAATATACCTAATGTTTAAAAAACTTTTTTAAATAATCTGTTAATACCTACAACTCAAAAGTATAACTGGTGGAACTTAGGAGACCATGACTAATTAATGTGCTTTGCACAGAAACACTAACCATGCCCACTCTAATGCTAGTGAATTCTACTTGATGATGACTTATAAAATGATTAAAATATATTAAGCAGAATCTTTCACATACCACAGTGTGGTCCACAGCACTGGTGTTAGTCATGTATCATATACCAAGTGGGAAAATTCATGTATTGGGCTATGTGTCTAAAGTCTCTCTGATAAGAAGGAAGTAATGAATCTGTTTTGTTTATCCTGCAAGTCTTCAGCAAGTGATCTGAAAGCAGTTATTTCTCTCCTGTGCCATGTAGGTCTCCAGATCACACTAAGTTTGTGGGAAGTTTCAGAACCAAACAAGACTTCATAGATTTGATTGAAGTAATCTATCGGGGAGCCATGAGAGGAAAGCTTATTGTCCAAAGTCCTATTGATCCCAAGAATATTCCCAAATATGACCTTCTCTATCAAGACATTTAGCACATTAACCACTGTTGGAAATGAAGAGAATGGCATGCATTGAAACAGTGCCTGAATCCAGCTGTGCTGTTTTCTGAACTCCCTTAGAAATGTGTTCAGTATCCCAGAAGAGAAGAGGTGTGACTTGTGTGTATGATGTCTGGCCCCTGAGCAGAAGACCACCTGGCGGCACTCCCCGGTCTGAAGGGCTGAGCATTTTCTCTCTGCAGGCCTCTAAGCAATCAAGGGAACAGTGTTCATTTTCCACAGGGTAGTTTTTCTCACTGTCCTGTAGACTGCTCTTCTTTGTCCCTCAAGATGATACAGAATCCTTCTAGACATTGCAAGTGCAGTTGACTTATCCATGTTATCTGATGCACAAGTAAATGGAAAGTCAATCCTGTAAGAGAAAAAGTACTTCTTCTCTATCCTGTATACACATGCAAACCCCTGCCCATTCTTCTACTCATATCCCTCCTACTCCCCCAGCTCCAGGCCTTTCTACTCCAATCTCTCTTGGAATAGTAATTGTCTACTAATAGTAGGCTTTTGGGGGAGGGGGGAAATCTTTTGAACTGAGACTTTCAAAAATGCCATCCTGAGCCAGGCACAGTGGTGCACACCTGTAGTCCCAGCTGCTTAGGCGCTGAGGCAGTACTGCGTGAGCCCAGGAATTCAAGGCCAACCTGGGCAACAATGAGACCTCATTTCAAAAAGCAAGAAGACAGGTAGTGGTGAAAAACTGTCTTGGTTGTTCTTGATAATATAAACTAGATTTTGTGTTATTGCTCAAGAAGCAAGAACTTGAACATCATCCAGTACCCAGTTTGAGCTAAACAAAGACTTAACTACCCTTAGAGCAAAGCTTTCCCAGAAGTCTGAGTTGCTACCTCTTCCTGAGACAGAAAATTGCATTCAAGGGTTCAAGATTGAAAAAATGTTAGAAGTTCTAGAAAAAAATATCACCTTTATAGGAGTTGCCAACCCTAATGACTTTACAAAGAAGCCTTGCTCTTCAGAGTCCTCCTGGCACAGCCTTGGGCAAGTACTGCTTCTCTTAAGCCTCATGGCAGCTCTGAATACTGACTTTCTAGAATGAGATAATGGACACTGAGCTACAGAAAGTGGATCAGGCAACATGTTATCTGCCTGGCAGCCACTGCCTTCTTTACCAGCAGAAGCCCATTTCTGTTCAGGGCAGTACTCACTACCTACTGACCCCTTTGCTAGGTGCTTCTGTCCAAGATTGTCTCACAGGAGGGATGGCCATGAGACTTAATTCAAGCTAATGTGGCACAGAAGAAAGACTGCTGGGGGTTTATGTGTCCTTTGCTGATAAAAGGAGAGAGTTACTCCAGGAATAAAGCAAAAGAAAATCTTTTCACCACCACCTGTCTTCTGTCCTACCACTTCCACTTAGTTTAAATCATGATGCATGGAACTATAGCAGCCATTCTTAGGCTCAGAAGGCAACCAGCATCAATATGAGAAAATAATATGCTGAAAAGAACAATGAAAGGGTCTGATCCACGGTGACATTATTGAGTACCCGAGTGAATTCTATATGTGCCTCTCTCCGGACTTCTATGAAAGAAAAAAAATAATTCTTTACCTAAATCACTGTTGTTCGAGTTTTCTGTTCTTCACAGCCCCAATCACACAATATTTGGTACATGATAAGTATTTAAATAACCACCCAAAACTCAGAACTTGCATGCTAAAATTATATCATCTCATTGAGCACTTCAGGGAATCTTCTCTGAAGTCCTGATTTTTATTTTTTTATCCTATCTTAATTCTTTCTATTCTACAAGTACTTTTTGAGTACATTCTGGGTGTCCCATCTGATACTAGCTGCTGCATAAATATAAGTTCTGAGAGGAGGCAATGTCTGAGTCTTAAGAGGGAGAGTAAGAGACCTTATGCAGAAAGGGGAGGTACCCAAGGGAAAAGGCCCAAGGATGGAGGCAGCAGAGAGAGCTCAGACTCTGTTCTGGAACCAAGAATGAGGCCCAGACAGCAGGAGGTGCTGTTAGGAAGGCAGAGAACATAAGTGATTTTCTTGTCTTTCGCATCATTATTTTCCTCTGAGGAGTGATCAGAAGCCATTTAATACAACCAGATAATTCTTTAGGGAACTGGGATGGTTTCTTCTCCCAGAAAACTTAGTGCTGAAGATACTATCGAAAGAAAAAGGTATAAATGAGGGGCAGGGGTTGTGGCTCAGCGGTAGAGTACTTGCCTAGCGCATGTGAGGCCCTGAGTTTGATCCTCAGCACCACATAAAAATAAATAATGGTTTAAAAAAAAAAGAGGGGCTGGGCTTGTGGCTCAGTGGTAAAGTGCTTGCCTAGAACATGTGAGGCCCTGGGTTCGATTCTCAGTACCACATAAAAATAAATAAATAAAGGTATTATGTCCAATTACAATTAAAAAATAAATATAAAAAAAGAAAGAAAAGGGTATAAGTGACTGCATTCTGAGAAGCATTTTGTAAGCATTTAACTGTGTCATTTTCAGTTTCTGTCTTATTTCTTCCACATTTTCATTAGTCCACTAGTCCACCTGTCGAAATATACTAATGGATCTGGGAGATGCATGTAAAGAGAACTTTACAGTGAAGGCCAGATCCTGGTGAACGAATAGTGACATCAGTGACCTTTCATACTATGAGAAGGAGAGGCTATATGTTAAGATGATAAGAAGGTGAATTGGTGAAGGGTCAGTGTACTAAAGGCTTAGAGCAAGAAAGGATTCAGAGAAAAAAGCCTCCTGTTCACCTTTCACCTGTGAGACCCTTAGGAGCAAGCCCCTTATCTTTGTGAAATGGAAGATCACACAGCTTGCATTTGACTCCTGGTAGAGGATGGGTTTCAGGTTGACAAACATCTCCTCCTACTGTGGAAGAGACTCGTAACTTTTTACAGAGTCCCAGAGCATTGCAGCTGGTAGAGACTTTGGAGATCCTCTGTTAAGTCCCTGTGGAAGAGACCAGGGATCTGATAATGGCCAGAGAGCTTAAAGCATTTAGCAGGTTTATGCCCGAGCTGTGATTTAGACCCAGCAAATCAGAGATCCTCCTTTATATCTCCTTGTTTTGTTTTCTGGAGCCCTGGAAAGTTGAAACACAACAGTAAAAGTATTGTCTGGGTCAGAACACGTTCTTTTCATCCCACTTTAGCTTGTATCAGTTTCCCTCACTGTGACAAAATACCTAAGATAATCAGCTTTAGAAAAGGAAAGTTTTGTTCTGGGTCAGAGTTTCAGAGTTTGCCCTGTTGCTTGGGACCTGTGGTGAGGCAGCACATAGTGAAGGGGAGCACGTGATAGAGCAAAAAACAGCTCACCTCATGACATCCAGAAAGCAAAGAGGAAGAGCAGAAGACCAGAGTCCCATAGTCCCCTTTAAAGGCACACCTCCATTGACCTAACTTCCTCCCATAAGTCCTCTCAAAGGCTCCACGACCTCCCAGTAGTGCCACAGGCTGGAGACCATGCCTTACAAGTCCTAGGCTTTGGAGGGACGATTATCTAAACCATAACTCCTGTGCCCTTTCTCCTAATCCACTTCAAAGAGGCAACAGGATACAGTTAAAGAGAACTCACAGTTTGTATTTAAATAGACTTAGGTTCTGGTTTAGCTTCCATTTTTAATAGCTGTGGAAACTTAAGCAAAGTGAGTCTGTATTTCCTCATCTGTAAAACAAGGATAAGAGTTATCTCTCTGAGATCGGGCATTCAGTAGGCATTCAATCAATGCACAGTTCCCCAAAATGAACCAATTTGTATCATGTTGGGAATTTCCAGGCAGCTTGGAGTGTTTTCTGACATACTTCCGGTAAACTCTATGCCACTTGTCGCCCCAGTACCATAAATGAAAGAATAAAAAAGGCCCAGACTAGAAACAGCACCAAAATTAATCATAAGCAAGTTCTTTATTAATTGACTCATCAGTTCAGGGCTAGGGCCTATCAGTTTCAGATGGTGTCCTGTCCCATCTACCTTTCCCTCTTTCAGGATGAAATCTCACTGTCAGGCAAGGGCTTCAGACCACCCCTCTGAGTAGACTTCAGCCAGCTTGTATTATTCGTCGGCTATGGTTTTCTGAACCCAGTCCAGGATGGAAGGCACCTTCACGTAGACACCGTACTCGGCCACAGTGCAGCTCTTATCAAAGCTCAGGATCCCAGCGGCATACCAGGTGTCATCCTCCAGGTCATGAATGACAAAGGCGCTGCCAGCATCACCATAACAGGTGTCTTCCTGGTACTTGGACATGCCAGCACAGAAGGTGTGCTCATTCAGGATGGGCTGCACCCCCACAGGGCTCTTTGGGGTCTTCTTTTCAGGCACTGTACTGCCCTCATAGTGCAGCACACAGTTGGATTGGTCAGCCACGGGCAGCATGACATACTTGAGGTGCTCCGTAAAATTAAAGTTGACATTTCGCCCCCAGCCAGACACATAACCCACACGCCCCACTTCCGCATAATCCTTGGAAGGTAGGCAAATGGGCATCACTCTCTCATTCACAGGCACCTTCTGTTTGAGTTTGATGAGCCCAATATCTATCATGGAGTAGTTAGGGTGGAGAACCACCTTCTCAATCTCCACCATCTGCCTTCTCCCCACAAAGAGTTTTAAAGTAGGAGCAATGTCCTCTGCTGTTGCATTCTCTGTGTGATTCAGGAAGAGATTTTTGGCCGTGGTCAACAGCCATTGTTCATTGATCAGCGTGGCCCCTGTGGTGAGACCATGGCGCGAGATCATCTTAGCCTGCCAGGGAAAGCTGCCTTTGGCATCCAGAGATCCGCCAATGATGCGCTGCACCTGATCCACCGGATTCTTAGGCTTTCCACACACTGTCAAGGAGAGCAAGAAACTCAAGAGCAGGCATGTGAAAGTCTCCCAGGCCAGGAAAGACAAGTAAAAGCACTGATGTTCTTACTGTCTACCCTTTTCAAAATTAGAAATGCTCAAATGCTTTGCTCTTACCATCTGCTCATCTCACTGCCAATGTTCACAGTTTAAAATAATGTTTTTTCATTCTGTACATCACAAAGTAGAGTTTTAGTCCCTGCTTTTCCAACAAAAAAGAAGTAAGTAGAACTAAGGTTTTTAAACCCCAGCTGATAAACTATTTGAATATTTAAATAATTTTGTCACCACAAAGGAATTTCCACAATTCCCTGAAACTCTTAAAAGGGCTGGATGCTATCTAATTCCTTCTTCCTGACTAGCGAGGGCTGTGTGTTAGCACTGGCAGGAATGCAAATTTTATAGACACTGCAGTTGATCCAAGGCAGATTAGCAGTTCCACAGCCCTGATGGCAGAAAGTGGACAAGACCCTCTGTTCCCAGAAGAAAGGGGGAGAACAAGGAATCAGGAGTCCCAGCTCATCTTCAGCCTTCTGTTTTGTACCTCCATGGGTTAAGCTTTTGCTCAACCTTCCCTGACTTGTTCTTTCTCGTTTTACCTTTGAACTAGGCTCTCTAGGTAGGCTGTCTATATGCATAGGGTCTCCTAATCCAGGGGCAGTAAAGACAATGCCCTTCAAGCCCAAAAGAAACAAGATGCTCAGTAAGCTCCTTTAGAGGTCTTGACCCCACTGGCTATGGTTCTCCCTGATCCCTCGCCTTGGCTCCTGTATGCTCAGAGGAAGCCACAGAAAAGGGATGTGGCTTTGCAACATTTCAGCCTAGCTGCCTACCCATGACCTAACCCCAGCACCCACCTGCTTCACATTCAGGAAGTTTCTCTCCAATGTCTTTGTTGATCCACTGCTTCTCGCTGTTTAAGGTATATACTCCTGAAACAAAAGGAAAGAAATGAGCCCAGAGAGAGAGCGATTCTGGACCTCAGGCAGGGTGAGAAGGTATTTAAAGAGAAGACTGTAAAAGGAGAAGAGAGGAGGAGGGAGGAGAGGAGTCAAGCACTGGGAGCTCCAGGCATCCCCAGCAGGACAGACTGTGCTCATGACAAGATATAGGACAAATAGAGATGGGGCTGGAGAGCTGACTCCACCTCTCAAAGGCCACCTGAACTTGAGCAAGATATTCATTTTCTCTGTGCTTCAGTTTCCTCATCAGATAAATAAGAATAACAGTATCTCTTCAGAGCAGTGCTGTGAGAACTAAGTGCTCTAAATAGATAGGAAGCACTTAGAAAGTGCCAGGAATATAGTGCTGCCTACAATGGGAAGGGTTACCCATTTTCATTGTCATTTGTTCTTTTACTATATCTCCTTTCATAGACGGAGAGCTTACTCTGAGATAGGTAGGCTCCATGGCTTGGACTCCACTTAACAAAAGAGAATCTGGGGCTGAGAAAAGTTTGCTCACAGAACCACCTACTGGTGACAAAAACTAACTCAGGATCTAAATCTCCTGGGTCCAGGAAGTGCAGATGAACTTTTTGGCCATTATGGGGATGTCAGGGCTAGGGTGTATGCTGGGCAGAGACTCTTGTCCGGGTCTTACCATCTCCTTCAGTGCGCAGTCTGTAATAGGTGTTACACTGGTAGCGAACCATGTGATTCACATGGCCATTTGCAATCTCAGGGGGCTTCGGGCAGCTGTCATCTGCAAACAAAAGGAAACCAGTAAAGGAAGTTAAT